ATTCCTCTTTTCTTCCGTCTCTTTTTTTATTTCTCCTTTTGCTCTGACCCCTATCCGCTATCCAGTCAACTGCAATGTCTATCAAAGTTGCACTGTGAAGACAAATACACACTGATGCTGGCACATCCTATCTGTTTGGTTGTCTGTTCCCGCCCCAATGTTTTCCATCAGTTTCTCCATTCATATGAAATATTCCTAAGGTTTTTGCCTGGAAATCACAGTGGGCACAGAAAAATAATATAAAAATTATTATTATTATTATGTGTGATGTGAATAAATGCATAAGGGAAGGAAAAACACATTGCAGTAGTAAAGCATTAATATAGCAGACATCAATTTGCCTGGTGGCCATGACAGCCTAACCCTAAAATCAGGTAATATCATTTAGCCACCTATGAGGCCAATTCTGTTCCTTTTTTAAATAACTTCCATTGGTCAGATCTGAGCATGCAAGGCAATTTAAAGGTAGCCTCATTCTTGTCAGAACAGTCATATTATAAATGACGCAACAACCTTGTGTCAATGCACTTCCTAATAATTGGTCAACCTCTTTGTAAATATATATTTTTTATCACCACCACAGTGAAATTCTATCAGATGCTAAAGAACTCTCAGCTTATGGCTGCTGAATCCCAACAGAAGAGGTGTATTTGAATATCTGCCAAGTGTGAGCCTGTCATCTGATTGGGTAGTTGACTAAAGCCAGTTAAGAATAGCCACAGCTCAAATGGTGCAACCACTGGCTTGCGTTCAGCCATTGTCTACCTCTAATAAAGAAAGCCTTCACTATAGAATTATTGAACTGTTTAAATGCAACAGCGTAGGGGTCTATTATCTCACAGCTTTGCTCTACAGAGATTTTGTTGCGTAATTATCACCATAGAAGTGCACAATATCTTAGCTAAAGCTGCCACTCATCTTTATACCAATTCTCCCTCCCAGCTAATGTTAATCACTCCTTTATTCAGCATCAACACCCCTCTTAATTTATCTGAATCCTCTTTTGAGTAAATATAAGTGGCCTATTAGCTGCCTCTATGTAAAGACCTCATGTCACTTAGCTAATAGCTGCTGTCTTTCACGAATGAAGGAAACATGCCTAGCCTGTAGGACCCATGTTATAAATATGTTGCATCACCAAAACTTGCTATTATTAAGGTTTGACTCTAGAATGTAATATTGGATGAAGACGTCCCTTTGTTTGATTTTCAACATTATTTCAGGGCTTTATTTACATGGCAGAGTGACCCACTTGTATTGTGCTATGTTATGGCTGTATTGTAAGCTTGGGAGGTTTTGTATAGATCACAAAAGTCCGATACTGGGTTGCGTGCTCTCTAGGGATATTTCTTTGAAGATATTTTCTACATCCCTATTTTCGAACTAGGTCTTGAAAGTGTTTATAGATATGCATGAAGCAAACATGCCTTCATCAAATGAATGTTTTTTATTCAAAATCAGTTTATCTTTTACATTTTTAAGCAGTTGCTTTTATATTACTTTCTCACACCTTTAGAGGTGAATCAAGCAAGACAAAATGTTCTTTGGGGAGGAGTACACAAATGCACTGGTGATGTTGTAACTTTACACAATGAAGTGGGAATACTTGAACCATAGGAGGCATAATGTATAATTTAAGAACACTGATTTGGAGGACTGTGTAAAAATGTGTTGAAATATCTTACTTTAAATTCTGTGGCCTACAGCTGAGTCTTGCATCTCTACATTATACCCTTGAGTTGTGATGCCAGCTTACCCTTACAAACACTTAGCTCTGTGACTACCTCTCTTGCAGGCAGTAGTGGGTGGATTTAACCCCAAATGTTGCTTTGTAAGCCAGTATTTCACTTGGAGATTACGTATTTCTTGATAGTAGAGTATATTTGCATATCTTCTTACATTAGCTGACATCTCATAATTGTGAGAAAATAGGCAATTTTTTTATTGCAGTCTTACCAAATTATGGGTGGTTGTGATCATTGAGCAATGCAGATGCCTACTAGGACACACTTTTGAAACAATAATAATGTGTTATGTATTGTCATCATTGTATGTTTCCATACAATGGTGAATTTGGCTACCTGCATTTAACCCATCCACCATCAGGTGGTGCAGTGGGCAGCTATTGAAAGCGCCCGAGGAACATTTGGAAATAGGGTGTGCTGCTCAGAGCCACCAGGAGTTGTGTAATAACTGGGAAATGAAGGCAGACTGGGACCAGATCTTTTATTAATTGTCTATCCATGGCACAGTTTTTAAATCTGGAAAATTAGGCCTGTAGCCTCACCTCTTATGCCAAAAGAAGGTACTGTGCAAGTCTCAAAATACAAATTGAGCATGCTAGAATATACATATATTTGATTTAAAGGTGATTATAATGGGTTTCAGATGGCCATGACAACTTTCTGACCATTTTGATAAAAAATCTGCAGCACAACTTTTTGGAAAAGGTTCAAGATCCAAGCGACCAAACTGGAAGCCCCTGCCACTCATGCAAGGAAATGTAGAACACCTGCAAAACATTCTGAGACATTTTGGAGACTGCATTGCAAATGCCAATTTGCCATCAAGTTGCCTACAATCCTAGCCCAGTGAGATATTACATTTACTCATCAAAAATTACATGACCATTGTGTTTCACATTATACACAGCCCAAACTCAGAGAGGTTAAACTTTGAGTAGATAGAATGTGGAGGAAAAGTAATTTCCGCTTAGAAATAGTAGCCCAATGTATTACCCCAGTGGAATCTGTGGACTATAGCTTGGAAATCTATGAATGTGTACAATACACTGATTATTTATTACCCAATGCTTCTGAATAACCAATAAAAGATGGTGCTAATGGTTAGCTGCTTATCCAAGAGACCAGAATGAAGTAATTTATACTGCCTTCTGTTTTTTTTTTATTACTTTGTCTTAATATCAAGGAAGCAACATGGAAGAGCATCTAGGAGCAGGGCACATGTCTCAAGAGAGTTGTGATGCATTGTGGGTAGACTGATGGCTCAATTGTTGGAGTAAATGAGAGAGGCAGGCCGTACCTGGTATCTGCTCGTCTCTTTGATGGCTGTGCTTGTCAATCTGAAGCAGAGGGGGGAAAAAAGGAGGGAGAGACATGCTGTGATCCAAAGCCACAGTTGTCATTTTCATCATATCAGCTGGCATGTTAATTGTGATTGCAGTTACATATCTGTTTTTTTTTTTCTGTTTCTTTATTATTATTATTATTATTATTTCCTTTTCATCTCTTTGCAAATCATTAAACTGAATCACTTAGCGTTTGGTGGCAGGTTATCTGATAGTCAAAATGAGTTGCAGTCTATCTCTAAAGCATTAGCTAAATTGTGACTGGCAGTCATCACAGTAGTTGCATGTAGTGTTTAGAAGGCAACTTTTGACATGGACATGGACTCGAAAAGCGGAGGCTAAGATTTCCAGTAGAATAACGAAGGAATGGCACTCTTGAAGTAGTATCGACTGTTATTTGGAAAAAGGTTTTCATAGTGAAGGAAATGATTGGTTTGTTGATTGACAGTTAATGCTGCAGAACCTCAAGAGATTCTCATTCTTTGTTCCATGTCTTCCCTCACTTTGCTGTCGTCGTCCCACTTCCATTGTGACCTCAATCGTGTGTTTCACGTCTTTATCAACATTTTTAGTTCCAGTATCAGTGCTGCTAAACCCCTCTCATACAGTACATCTATTGCTGCAGATGTTAAAAAGTTAAAAATGATTCTATTTTTTTTTTTTTTTTACACTTTTTTTTTTCTTTTACAGGAGATAAAGAGCAATAAAAGTAAGCCGTGGTCAAAATCCTTTATTTTATTTTATTTATTTATTTGTTTCTCTGAGCAAAGGCATGCTTGGCTTGGTTTGCACTCACTTTTACTTTTGCTTGACTTTGCTTTCTCATCAGGTCATTAATATGAAAACACATTTAACTTCGCATCCCTGACACACCATTAGTCGTAATACCTCTGGCACTGTGTCATTTCAAGGCTTTCATTCTGTGGCTAAGACTCCTTGTTTCCTCCCTCCTAACAGTTTCAGCTTTAAGTTTAACCAGTTCAGCTTTGGTTTGTATCCTTGCTCTAAATAGCGGTCATGTATCGCAAAGTGTTACGGTACAGCAAAAGGCCCTAAGTTACCTGGCTAACCTGTTTTTTTTCCCGATGTGGCATTGTAAGCACATAATTTGATTTCTACAATAATGCGATAAACACAGTTAATCTGAGGCTAGTGCTCAGATAGGTAATTGGTTAACACCACTATTAGTGGATTTAAGAGGAAATCCAAGTGCTTGAGCCTTCGCAAAGCTATTAAGCTACTTAGATGAGAACGTGATTGTTGTCTGTCAATCAGCAAAGCAGGAAAACAGGGTGTTGATGGTACTCCGACCTACCAAGCACACTCACACAGAGCAGCTTAAATTTTAAATGAGGCAAAGCTGAAAACACAAACTGACCTCTTCACTTTTTCATTGCTGCCTCCTATACCACCCCCAACCTACCTTTTCCCCTCTCCGCACAAATGCATTTTGAAGCATGACATTATTTCAACTCTGATTCACTCCACAGTTTTTTTTTAGTTGAAGGCTGTTGTGTTAGCCGATAGCGTCTTCTTTTCATTGTTGATATTCGTCGCTCTTTTTGTCATGTGGTATTGTTTCTGCATGAAAACAAATGCAGTTCTGTTGGTGACAGATTTGTTGTATGTTCACTAGTACTAAACGTTAGAGTTTTCATAAGCTGTGGAAATGTGTGCCTGGTTATCATTGTGACTTTTTATTTCCTACTGCTTCCTATTTTATTTTATTTTTTTATTGAACTTCAGCTGTGGTAATGACATGATTTAGGAGAAAAATGTATATAGGCTGTAGTAGCCAAATCATGGAACATACCACAACAGACACCTAATTTTAGTTTTCAGTCAGTACATTTCTCTTTGTAATCAAACAAACTGAAATGACTCACTTTTCCCTCTTCTCTTCTTCCTGTAGACTCCCGGCCGTTGCCTGACGTAGCCATGACTGGCAAGTGCACCAGGGAGTGCAACGAGTATGGCCACTCGGACTCCTGCTGGATGCCTGTGCGCACGTCGCCAGAGCGACGGCCATCCAAGTCGGCCTCCAACCCCCAACAACCAAAGCTTTCCACTTTCATGACTGGAAACGGCAGCAGCAGCAGTAGCGTCGAGCAGCCTGGCAGCCAAGAGACCCTCGCCATGGCCGCCATGGCCAACGGGGACCCCGCAGCCGCTCACATGATGGGAGACCGCAATCGTAACCTGCTCAATAAGAAGATGGCCTCCTCCTCTTCCTCCTATGAGGCCTTTGGCTCGCCTTCCTACGGCTCCCCAGGAGGTGTTGAGGAGACACTGGGACACCCCACTGAGGAGATCCCCCTTGCACCCACTGGAGAATACAAGCCAACGTCCTGCGGTACCTTGACACGACGGGAGGTGTACCTGTGAGCTTGAAGTCCTTCGTGAAGCTCAAGTGCCACAACATGTGGCGTTTAAACCCATAACTAAGGATAGCTGCTTACCCATAAATGTTACAGCTGTAGATGTTTTTGGCCACACAGAGTAGGACTAAACCTTCTCCATAGACTTTTACAATAAACTTCTTGATGTAAAATCTGAGTGGATATACAAACATAGTACCATTTTAGAGTGCTAATTCTGGCCCTATTGAGGAGAAGTAGAGGAGGAGAAACTATTCTACTGACAGGTTGTGCTTTTGGGAGAGTCTGCTGCCTGACGGTCAATCTGTACAATAAATCAACTCATTTTAGATATACAGCACACGCATGAGTAATCCATGTTCCCATCAGGGGGCCCTCACTTTCAGAAAACAATGTATAAATGAGCCCATATTTCCCCTCCTTTTATTTGTTTTTTTCTAAAATCAAAGCTGTACAACAAAACTGCTCTGACTTTTTTTTTTAGTGACTCTGGATATGCCTTTTTGTTTTAGAACAATGCAAGAAACAGTCTGGCCAAGATGCTCTGTGGTGAATGGATTCTTATGATTGACCACACTGGACCATGAAATCTGTCATCTTGAATGTTTGCAGTTGAAGTTGCAAACCAGAAGTTGACCAAATTTGAGTCCTAAAAAGGATTGGAAGAGACTAAGCTTTAAAACACTCTGTCCTCTTTTTGATATGGAGACTTGGGGAGAAGTAGGAGCCAAAGGAATTTGCTGCAACTACACTTTGGCTGAACCACAACCGGACTTACAGACTACAATGAACTTTGTGTTGACTGACCAACAGCGTGAGCGCTTCTCACAGGTGTCAATCATTGTACATAGCATTGGACTTTAGTGACAGTGCTAACTGCTCCCATACCCTTTTGTTCCCAATTCCTATCTTTACACACTTTTTCATTAATTGTCTTTAGTTGGCGACAATGAGACTTACGCCTCTTGAGAAATGCAAGACCTTATGCCTACAATCACATCAACTCGAAAAGCATGGAGTTTTTTATTTATTTGTTTTATTTTATTTCGGATCATACTAACGAGATGGTATTATACCAAGTTAGAATATCTGTTTTGGTAAAGCAAGCATGGAGACCCACATGTAAATGCAGAAACAGATTTCTTTAACTGAGAAGGCTCCTAATGCTATACTGATTAAAATTCTGGGTGAACATGGTCTTTTGGATAAGATTGCAATGCACTGTGAAAGTTCTGTGTATTGACCCATACAGTGCATCCGTCATAGACTTAACGCGTAATTACGGCAGAGCTGGTCTTAAACAGTTGCAAGGACAGTGTTTTAAAATCTTTATTTTTTTTTTTTTGTATTTGCGTTATAGGACTGAGCAATAAATAGCATAATGTACATGCGGCCAACATTAAGCATCAAACTCTTCACTCTTTCTTAAAGCCTTCAAGATGACATTGGTCCACATACATCTCTGTCAAAGAATCCTTTAAACACTCGTAGTTGTTGCTTTTCTTTGCATGAATGTAAGAATCAGCTCTGTAAAGAACAATCAAAAAGCAACTTTTGTACGAGAAGACACTGGGAGGTGTTCAGATTTTGCGCTGATGAATTTGGTGTCAAAGTGAAACCACACTTCCCCAAACAGGATGAAGCATTCCCATTTCACACCGTAAGAAAGAAGCTTTCTGGGAGAACTTTGCCTATGTATAACTTTTCTTTTTTCTAATGAAGGATTGAATGATAAGAATGTGATGTCTCAACAAAACACCCACGGAACACTCAGAGCTGATGCATAACACTCCAGTATTGAGATGTTGTGCCTCCTGTTTGTTTGTTTGTTTGTTTTGTTTTTTTTGCAACTGCACAGGCACAAGTCTCATTCCTGTAATTGAAAAGATTATCAGATGCAATGGAACTTTTTTTTGTATTTTAGCAAAACTCCTTTTTGGTTTGACCGGAGGCGCTTTTTTTATGCACTCCGGCGATCTATAGTCTGTAAGTACTACTTGTGAAAGAAAGTGCTCCTATACTTATCAACTGTATACATAAATATTTACTTTTTACTTGCACGTTTAATGGGAACTTACTTCACTTAACTGAGAAAGAGGACAAAAAAACCTGTAAAACAAAATGTACAAAAAAAAAAAAAATGTTTTCCTGTAAACATGGAAACCCATCTTGTTGCTTGCATTCGTTTGTACTTGAAGACACATTACCCATGTAAAACATAAAAAACAAAACAAAAAAAACTATACCGTTTCATTTTTCAATCCATTTTTTATACAAAACATTGATTGTCTTTCAAATCACAAACATTTAAAAAGTTTTTTTTTAATGTTACGGTATATCATTAGATTAGACTTATAAGCCTATATTTTGCCCAATGATAGATTTAGCCACTTATTTACTTTTACCCATTGATTATTTTGCTCATTTTTTATTTTACCAATTAATTATCTTTACTCATTGATTGATTAGACCAATTGACTAGTTTTACCCATTGATTAAAATAATCCCATAAATGTTCAAACTATTATATAGTTTTACCAAATGACTCTTTTTTTTTAACTATTGAACAATTGTAGCCATTGCTGAACCTTAGTTTGTTTTTACCCATTTAAAATTGTACCCATTGATTTATTACACAGTAGCAGGCAAAACTGTGGAAAGGATCATGACATTATTTTATGTTTTACTTTATTTTCTTTATATTGTGTCACTTTGTATATTTATAGTGCTTCTGAAACGAAAAAAAAATCATAAAAAAAAAACATTAGAGTGAATGCAAATATGCAATTGTGCCTTTTTATACCAATCGGTATGATTAAATGTTGGTTCGGAATGGTGCATAAATAATTACACCGACATGCTCAGAAAACTAGATGGGGTGGCATTTAAGGACTGGACTACATTTGCATATCTTAGATGAAATCCCATGATGTCAAACATTTTTTTTAGTTTTCCTTTCTTTCTTTTTTTGTATGTTGCGGGGAGGACGACTGGCCAAATGTCAGTGAACCCATGGATTTGACACTTCAATAGCTGTTGCTCACTTGGATCAATGACCTTGTTCAAATACCCATTCCTAGCTTTTGAATACTGGCCCATTCAAGAAGTTGTTTATTGGTGGAAATAATAATGATATACAGTAATGGACTTTTTATTTTGGTGGTGTTTTGCCCATGTACATGTGTCATCAAAAGGTAAAGTAACCTTCTTTGTGCATGAAACAAGGTCCAGAACTGAGTACAAAAGCACTGAACGATACAGGACAGGAAATATAGGGAAATAAAAAGCCTGGAGACATTTGATTGCTCCGAGTTGAGGGAGCTGAGAGATAAAAATGCTAATGTGACAGTTTACTAGGAGGCATGAATACAGGAAGGGTGTGTGTGTGTGTGGGGTGGGGTGGGGGGGTGATTTGAGGGGCTGTAAGGGAGAGCAGCTGACAGAATACACACCTCGGGATGTGTTGTGCAACTTTACGGTTTATGCATATCTAGAGATGACGATGATGAAACCCTGCCTGACAAATAAGCACGCTGCAGGCTTTGCTGTGATACTGCAAGGTGGTGCTTTGAATTTCTACATCAGATAAAGGGAAGACAGAAACTTGTGAGTGTAAAAGAAGAGAAATGAAAGCAATGTTGCAACAACATTGAGTGCAATGCAATCTACGCTGTCTTCTTCTGAGCCGTGATAGGCTCGGCGGGTTGTTAATTGTTGATACACTGATAAAAATCTACCGTATTGTATAGTGGGCGCTCGAATTCCCAATGCTTGACTAAAAGCATGAGGTTGACCCACCTGAGGTATGTGCTCGGAGGCCGCTCTCCTGTACCCAAAAAGCATTCACAGTGTGTAATGAGATTTTGTAATATTACCCATTACTATTTGTCCTGCGACTTGGATGTTGATATAGAAACTGAGGAACAAATATCATTGTTTAATATGAGTCACTATGCACGCAGCTTAGCTGAACATGGCAAAGTGTATTGAACGCAAGTCCACTTCTATTTATGAGATATTTTACATAATTTAATTTTTGCTTTTGTACAGGTTTGTGTAAATATACTGCTTGTCATTTTTGTCTCTGCAGAAATTAAAAATATAACATGATAAAACAACCAACGGGGTGTAGTTTCTTGATTTTCTTGCACAGTTGTTTTTGTTGTTGCATTTGAAGCATCGAAGGCAAGACGCTGTGGAATATTCTCAGTCATCCAGGACATGGTGAATTCAAAAATGTTAAAGACAAAACTAGACTATAGTTTGTAACAGAATCCGACAAAACTTTCTCAATTCAAGGAACAGAGAGTGTGGGGTTCCAGTTATAAAGCTGAAGTAAGCTAGATACACATGCAGATTGCCCCATCACTCCTCACTGTAAGGGTTTGTTAGGGTTTTTTAGTCCGACTCATAGATGGGCCACCCTGGTCACATGGATGAAATTCCTGATAGGTGTGAAAATTACTAGGTATCAGTCCTAAAGCTGCATTATAAGTTTTTGAAAGATGCAAACTGAGACCACCTCCTCTGTTTAAAGATGGTTTCATTTTACACAAATGGCTTCC